GATACTGCATTGAGCTGGGGGGTGGACTGGATGGCCTGTCTGACCCCTTCCAACTCTGTGATTCTAGGATTCTAACCCCCTGCACGATGCAGGACATTTATAACTACCTCCCCCCACCCACATACACACACCCAGTGACCCCTGCTCCATGCCCAGAAGATGTCAGTCTCAGGACGTGTCTGAATGATCACGTATCTGACCTATCAGTGTGACTCAGTTTCAAGGGGAACTGAATGCTGGCTGTCAAGAACTCAGAGGAACCCTGGAATTTTGGAGATGTGGTTAAGACGCTGAACTGCAGGCTGTGGAAGGTCGGTAGTTCAGCAGTTCGAGACCCAAGTGTGCCGCATGACGGAGTGAGCTCCCGTCTCTAGTTCCAGCTCCTGCCAACCTAGCAGTTCGAAAGCAAGAAATTGCAAGTAGATAAATAGGTACCACTTCGGTGGGAAGGGAACAGCGTTCTGTGCGCCTTGGCGTTTAGTCATATCGGCCACATGACCATGGAAACGTCTTCGGACAGCGCTGGCTCTTCGGCTTTGAAACGGAGAATAGCACCGCAACCCTAGAGTCGGACTCGACTGGCTTTCGAGCAAGGGAACCTTTACCTTTATATATCCATATCTCAGAACTATCCTGAAACATCTGGTGAGGTGGCCAAATTGTGGTCAACATTTGGGCCCATGAGTTCTGTGGAAGTCCAGTGTCTTTCATGCAACTACTGAAACCGAAGCTGGTGATGTGAACCCGAACACATATGAATACGTGAAGCTGCCGTAGGTAAAGGTTTCCCTTGCTCAAAAGCCAGTCGAATCCAACTCTAGGGATGCAGTGCTCATCTCCGTTTCCAAGCCGAAGAACCAGCACTGTCTGAAGACATTTCCGTGGTCATGTGGCCGAGGCGCATGGAACGCCGTTACCTTCCCACCGAAGCGGTACCTATTTATCTACTTGCAATTTCTTGCTTTCAAACTGCTAGGTTGGCAGGAGCTGGGGCCAGAGACAGGAGCTCACTCTGTCACGCACTTGGGTCTCGAACTGCTGAACTACCGACCTTCCGGTTTGCAGCTCGGCATTTTAACCACTTGAGCCACTGCAGCCCTTAGACTGAATCAAACCCTGGGTCCGTCACAGTCACACTTGTCTACTCAGAATGGCAAAGGCTCTCCAGGGTCACGAGGGGAGGTGTTTCCTGTCATCAACTGCCTGGTGCTTTTGCCTGACTAGGAGTCAGAACTGGGACTGAAAGACCCCAGAGTGCCAGAGAACAGTCCAGACTCTTTGATACCAGCATTCGCATTGACTTGATCAAAACTGATCAGTGAGTAGAGCTACGGCTTGAATTTTGCCCTTCTGTACAAATGAATGCAATCAACGTTTTTTACTGCTTTTGCATTGATTGGGCTAGGACATAAACATAAGAACATAAGAGAAGCCAATGTTGGATCAGGCCAGTGGACCATCCAGTCCAACACTCTGTGTCACACAGTGGCAAAAAACACCAGGTCCAGCAGTGGGGTCAGGACACTAGAGGCCCTCCCACTGTTGCCTCCCCCTCAAGCACCAAGAATACAGAGTATCACTTGCCCCAGACTGAGAGTTCCCATCTGTAAGGTAAAGGTAAAGGTTCCCTTGCTCAAAAGCCAGTCGAGTCCGACTCTAGGGTTGCGGTGCTCATCTCCGTTTCAAAGCCGAAGAGCCAGCGCTGTCCGAAGACGTTTCCATGGTCATGTGGCCGGCATGACTAAACACCAAGGCGCACGGAACGCTGTTACCTTCCCACCAAAGTGTACCTATTTATCTACTTGCAATTTCTTGCTTTCGAACTGCTAGGTTGGCAGGAGCTGGGGCCAGAGACGGGAGGCCACCACAGCTCCTTCCCATCTGTACCTTGTGGCTAATATCCACTGACGGACCTCTGCTCCAGATGTTTATCTAATTCCCTCCTGGAGCCATCCATGCTTGTAGCCACCACCACCTCCTGCGGCAGTGAATTCCATGTGTTAACCCCTCTTTGGGTGAAGAAGGACTACCTTTTATCCGTTCTGACCCGACTGCTTGGCAATTTCATGGAGTGCCCACGAGTTATCGTATTGGGAGAAAGGGAGAAAAGTACCTCTTTCTCTACCTGCTCTATCCCATGCATAATCTTGTAAACCGTGATCTTGTAAACCCTTTTCAAAGATGGGAGTGACATTAGCTACCTTTCAGTCCTCAGGAATGGAGGCAGACTTTAAGGAAAGATTACATATTTTTGTCAGGAGATCCACAAGTTCACATCTGAGTTCTTTCAGAACTCTCGGATGTATGCCATCCGGGCCCGGTGATTTATCAGTTTTTAAGTTGTCTATCAGTCGTAGGACCTCCTCTCTCGTCACCTCAATCTGACTCAGGTCTTTCAACACCCCTCCTGAAATCAGCAGTTCTGGAGTGGGCGGGCAATAGTGACATCAAGTCATAACAGAGTTATGCTGACCTGTAGGGTTTTCAAAGCAAAAGTGTAACAAAGGTGGTTTGCCTGCCTCTGTGTAGTGATTCGGTGGTCTTCCATCCAAGTACTAACCAGGGCCGACCTTGCTTAGCTTCCCAGATCTGAGAAGATCAGACTAGCTGTGGCCATAAGGTAAAGGCAAAGGATCCCTTGCTCGAAAGCCAGTCGAGTCCGACTCTAGGGGTGCGGTGCTCATCTCCGCTTCCAAGCCGAAGAGCCAGCGCTGTCCGAAGACGTTTCCGTGGTCATGTGGCTGGCGGGACTAAACACCAAGGCGCACGGGACGCTGTTCCCTCCCCACCGAAGTGGTACCTGTTCATCTACTTGCAATTTCTTGCTTTCGAACTGCTAGGTTGGCAGGAGCTGGAACTAGAGACGGGAGCTCACTCCGTCATGCGGCGCACTCGGGTCGCGAACTGCTGACCTACTGACCTTCCACAGCCTGCAGTTCAGCGTCTTGACCACGTGAGCCACCGCAGCTCCTCTAGCTGTGGCCATAACTACATTTAAATAAAGTTGCCTTGGGGTTCTGTTTTTTATGTCCTAATTTTTCACTTGTGGCTGGGGGTGGGCTTTGATGGTAATGTTGTAAACTTGGGGGAGAGCGGTGGAGGAGAGGATAAGAACCACTGGGAGAGGGGGGCTGGGAAGTGCCAGTCGACATGGCCGGACACCCCATAGGGTTTTCATGGAAGGAAGTAGACAGAGGTGGTTGGCCCTTGCCTGCCTCTGCACAGCAACCCAGGACTTCCTTGGTGGTCTGCCATCAAGTAATAACGGCAGCTGACCACCTTCGCTTCTACGATCTGATGAGATCAGGCTAGCCTGAGGCCATCCAGGGAGGGGCTTTTCGCCTTACTACTAAAATAACAGTATTTCGGAATAGCTTGCAGGCTATTATCAATTGTGGGCTATTTACCAATGACAAGATTCACGTGGGAAGAAGAAGAAGAAGAAGAAGAAGAAGAAGAGGAGGAGGAGGAGGAGGAGGAGGAGGAAGAAGAAGAGGAGGAGGAGGAAGAGGAAGAGGAAGAGGAGGAGGAGGAGGAGGAGGAAGAAGAGGAGGAGGAGGAAGAAGAAGAAGAGGAAGAAGAAGAAGAAGAAGAAGAAGAAGAAGAAGAAGAAGAAGAAGAAGAAGAAGAAGAAGAAGAGGAGGAGGAGGAAGAGGAAGAGGATGTTGGGGAACCCTGGGCTACATGGTATGTGAAGGGATCCAGATTCAAATCCTTTCTCCTTGCTAAAGTGACCACGATCTAGTTTTGTTTTGGATTCGTAGCCCGCCCTTCACGATCTGAAGGAGTCTCAGGGCGTCTTACAATCTCCTTTTCCTCTTCCCCACAATAGACACCCTGTGAGGTAGGTGGGGCTGAGAGAGCTCTTTCGAGGACTGCCCTTGAGAGAACAGCTCTGAGAGAACTTGTGACTGACCCAGGGTCACACCAGCAGCTGCGTGTGGAGGAGGAGTGGGGAATCAAACCCGGTTCTCCCAGATTAGAGTCCACGCTCCTAACCACGACACCAAACTGGCTCTACACCAAAGGACACCAGACGTGGATTTCCAGTCACTACTTGAAAAAAAGTTGGGCACTCCAGGGTTGAAGCATCAGACTAGGGCTGGGGAGTCCCAGGTTTGAATCACCATTCAGTCATGTTCTTTTTTTCCCCCTTTTCTTTTTTTAGCCCCCCGGAGGGGATTTTTATTGCATTTTCTATAGACTACAAACTACAACGAAAAAATAGGGAGGGAACATCTACATCTATGGAGAAAGGAAAGAAAACCACTACTAACTAAAACCCCAAGTATAGGATATCATTACATCAGCTTATATAAGTGTTAATCTAAAATGCTAGTATTACATTGAACATTAAGCTAAAATATTTATCTTTTTAACCATTTTTAACTGTTTAAAGACACCCCCAGGAGCATCATTTATATCACATGCTTTAAGGCACCATTCAGAGTCCTTCAGCCTTCACTTTGCTTTATCTTTTCTAATAATCCTCAATTGGTACTCAGTCATGTTCTGTTAGATTCAAGTCCTGTAGCAACTTAGAGACAGACCAACAAAAGTGTTGGTATATAAGCTTTCAAGAGTTTCTCCGGGGTCTCTTGTGGGTCTCTAAGGCGCTACTGGACTCTGACCCAGAGTCTACTGCAGACCAATAGGGTTACCCTCTGGACCCAGTCCTCAGCCCCTCCCACCTGGCAGGGCTGTTGTGAGCAGGAAAGGAGGACAGCCTTGAGGTTCTTGTAGGAAAGGTGTGATGGGAAGACAGGCCTGTGTTTGGGGTCAGTGGGCTCTGGGGTGAAGCACTCCCCCCCCCGAATTCCCAGGTATCAGCGGGGCCACCCCACCCCACCCCACCCCGTGCCCGGGGAGTGCGTCAGCCCCGTGCCGGCCCGGGGAAGTGGTGCAAGAGGCGCTTCCCCCTTCGCCATCCTGCCCTCCCCGGATGCCGCGCATATTTGGGACGCCGCCCAGCTCCACCCCGCACTTTAGAGAGGCGCAGCCAGCGGCTCCGGAGCGCAGTCGGAGCAGAGGAGGGAAGGCCAGGCCGGGACTTGTGCTGCCGCCGCCGCCGCCGCCTGCCAGGTGAGTCCCGGGCGCGAAGTTGGGCAAAGTGGGCATGGGCACCCGAGGGAGGGCAAGGCCGGGGCGCGGAGGGGACGTCTCCCAGGAGACCCGACAAAGGACTAGAGCGTGGAGAGGGGCAGGGACGTGGGGGCGCCTGGCGGGCTTGCCAGCCTCCCGGCGGGCCCGGGAGATCTCCCGGAATCGCGCCTGGCGGCCTCCAGACGGCCGCGATCCGTTCCCCTGGCGGAGGAGGAGGAAATTGGATTCGGGGGGGGTGGGCCTCCA